GGCTCTTTCGAAAACGACAATGGCGGCGGGGGGCAAAGTAACAGATTTTTCTTTGGAGCCGAGTAAATCGGTCAGTGGCTGCAAAATATCTGCACAGTGAGGGATGAATCGCCGGTAGTAGTTGATGATACCTACGAAACGACGAGGTTGGGTGAGTGGTGGGTATGGGAAAAGACTCTAGGGCCAAAACGCGATCGGGCAACGGTGAAATACCCGTGGCGTCAATGTGGTGGCCAAGAAAACCTAGGTTAGTAACACCGAATAAGCATTCGTCAATGTTTAAACATAGGTTGTAAGTGGAAAAACGTTCAAACACTGCTCTGAAATGAGCTGTATGTGCATTTAGGGAGGTGCTAGCGACTGGGACACCGTCAAGGTGGGCATACTAAACGGTAAGCCACGTAAAACTTCGTCCATGAAACGTTGAAAAGTTTGGGCTGTATTTCGAAGACCAAAAGGCATACGCGTGAATTCGAAAAGGCCAAACGTTATTTTGATGGCCGTTTTAGGAATGTCATCCGGGGCTACGGGTATGTGGTAGTATGCTCGTATCAGATCGGGTTTGGAGAAGATATTTGTGTGGCATAAGGTACTGGCGAAGTGATGGATATGTGGAATGCACTCTGGGATATTAGTGTTATTGAAAGAACGGCAATCTCCATAAGGTCTCCAATCACCTTTAGATTTCTTGGGAACTATATGTAGGGGTGATGACCAATGACTCGATGAAGGGCGGATGATGCCGAGTTCGAGCATGTGTTCGAACTCGTGTTTTGCGATTTGTAGCTTATCCGCATGAAGTCGGCGGGGGCTGGTATGGACAGGTGGACCTCTCGTCTGAATGGGGTGAACGACGGAATAAATGACCTGTTGGGTGTACTGACATGGGTGAGTAAGGGTTGGAAAATCCCCAAGTATGTCGGCAAAATGTGAATCCGGCAAGATAACTCGGATGCCTGTGGATTAAGTTGGGGCGCTAATTCCGTTGACTGAGAAGGAAGTTAGCATGTCGAAGAGACGTTTGTGGCGCACATCGACAGATAGGTTGTAATGGGTCAGGAAATCTGCACTGATGATGGGTGCCTGGACGTCGGCCAAGAGGTAGACCCACTTGAACGCACGTCGCAATCCGAGGTCAACCTGAAGGGAACGTCCACCGTATGTAGCGATGCGGCTTGTAAGGAGAAAGAAGCAGAATCGAGAAGTGGATTCTTATGTGGTAGCGCACTAACTTCAGCTCCCGTATCTACGAGGAAACGTAGACCACTTGAACAATCGGTGATGTGGAATAGGCGACTTGAGCGAGAAGGGCCACCGAAGACCGAAAGATTGATGATACCAGCACCAAGAAGGACGGGCACGAGAAAACGATCGGGTAGACGCTTGATGATCTCTAGCCATTGTAGACGATCGGTCAAAGTATCAAATTTGGCTCGTAGTTGCGATATGGAGGCAAGAATTGGATCGGAATCTGCAGAGACCATGTGTGTTGGGAGGAAGACGGAGTTTACGGGGTTACTGGGGTAAGTTTCGTGGATCTTATCCGCCATTTGGGCTAACTGCTCCAAGCCGTGGTCATCGACGAAAGCGCTGATGACGCGGGATAATGGGGGTGGAAGTTTGTTAAGCCATAGTTGGGCCATGATTTCCACCGCCAGCGTACGGCCGCAGAGGAGACAGCACATGTGGCGAAGCAGTTGTGATAGCGATATGTCACCAAGTTCGACAGTGGTGAATAAATCCCGTAGCATTTTGTTTTCTGACTTTCCTGCCCCACTGATCACGGCCGCTCGAAGGGCGTCATAGGGATTTTCCTGAGGAATATCTTCCAACAGATCTAATTCTGTTGCTACATCACAGGAAAGATGCTGGATAACATAGGAAAATCTAGTGGCTTGGGAATTGATGCGTCGGGTAGTAAAAACGGCCTCCACCTGGTGAAACCATACCCTGGGGTTGCGTGGATTGTAATCTGGAAAACGTATGCTAATCGCATTCTCGACTAAATCCACTGAATCAGTGTGCCTCCATAATGACTGGGCAAAACATTCAAAATTCCGAAGAATTGAAAGAAAAAGCTTTCAAAAACTATCTAGAATTACACGGGCTCATCAAATTTGTAGTGGTCTGGCTACCCAATAGGTTGGTTTACCAGGAGTGTGGAAAAGAATTAAAAATAGTAACGCTAGGTTGGATATGCAATAATAGAGAGGTCAGATGGAACAGACTCTCTTTAAAATAGTTCGTCGTTGGCCCAGGTCAGCAAATAAACAATAATCCAATTATGTTGATCCAGAGGTCTTCTCCTGAACAGTTCCCACATATAATAGATTCCAAAGATGGCCTGAAATGTTTTGATACCAGAGTTAGTACATGAGACTCGCGAATGGCCGCTGCAAGTGCGAGCGAAATCAGAATGGAGAGCCGAAGAATGTGACCACGCTTGTATTCTGTGAAATTGTACAAGTGGGGTTTTTTGTAGTTTTTCGTATTCAAATAAAAACGACTATGCAATTGATGAAATACGTAGTGTTATAGTGGAAGCAAATAAAGGTAGAAAACGCCACAACCGCCAAGGCATACGACAGCTTATGACAGCCTTCAATGGTGCCTGAGTAGAATTCACACAGACTTGACCCCAGAATCTCCTACAAAGCCGTACTAGAAAGATAATGGCTGAGCGAGATGCCCCTAGTCGAAATTCTTCGGTTCTGATTGGCTCGTATTCTGAACAGTCCGGACGCGACTACTTTGGTCCGTAGCCAGTTCGTGACATCCGTTCTTTCAATGTGTAGTATACGGTGTCTGTCATTTTGATTGATTCATATGTAAGTATTGGTGAGGTACAAACCTTGCTTACTGGTCTTTGGCTCATGAGCTTCATTTCTGTTTTCCATCCGCAGAAATTGTCGTGAATTCCTGCCTTCGGAGAATCACTGTCCCCTGGTGCACCCATAGCGTGCATAGTACATAATTGGCGACCATGCCAGGATGGTTACCACAAAGGTCCTGGCTCCAAATATGTGCATACAGGCCTCAGAGCTAGCACGTTGCTCACTCACACGGTAGACGCAGCCCCAGATGCAGCAACCTCTGCACACACTCACCAGCTTAACGCACCACACCACTAGCACCGGCCGGTTCTCGTAGGCCATGGTACACCGGAGACGGTGTTCTTCAAAAAGGAGGCTAGTGTAGTATACTTTGTCTGTCATTTTGATTGATTCATATGTAAGTATTGGTGAGGTACAAACCTTGCTTACTGGTCTTTGGCTCATGAGCTTCATTTCTGTTTTCCATCCGCAGAAATTGTCGTGAATTCCTGCCTTCGGAGAATCCTCCATAGCGTGTATATTACAAATGCGATACTTTGGTATTATTAGCGGCTACCCTCCGAATAATGATGTGATCCATTCCCCCATGATTCTCAACTCTTGCTCGTCTGAGGGAATAAGGGGTGCCTGCACGGTCGCATTGCGTGTGTTGGTCAATATATTCTCCACCCTGTATGCTCATGGGTTAGTCGCGGACACTTGAATTCGCCGTGTGGCGGAATTCGTCATTGTTCTGTGTTTTAGTTCATTTGGTGTGACTATCGGAAGCGAGACTTGTGGTTTTAGTCCTTGCTATTCCGCGAGACGTACACATGTGTTACTGGTACAATTCGAGACCGAGGCTGTCCGCTTTCATGGACATTTACGGATTCGTGGATCGATACACCATCGAAACTTTCGCCGAAGTTTCCTGGGTAAGGTCTGTCCTCGTAGTTCGCCATGCTTGCGCGGATTCTCAACGTAAGATATAAAAGGTAGTCGGACGTGTTACTTTTGTCAGTTACTTGGGCTTCACCATTTTACCCAGCGGATGGGCGAAAAAGTTTGGCGTGGAGTCGCCATGCAAATTTCGGTAACTTGACACCGCCTCGTGCTGAATGAATGGAGTCAATTTGTGGACGAAAACCCGGGTTTTTATCCGGATATCCGTTTGTGCATTATTTAGGCCTGCGAAACGTGGTCTGAGTGAGCAGATGGTACTTCCAAACTTGGGTTTTTGACCACTGTTGTCTACAACAAGCAATGAGTGTTCGCTTCTGGAGGTGTCCAGTGCTAAAACTGCAATGTCACAACTTATCGCAACTGCCTCAACTTCTTCAGCGACGACGTTTACAATGGTTCTGACCTGTGTTGCGGAAGAACGTCGCCAATCTTTATGATCAAATCTTAATCTCCACCTTGTTAAGGGTGTCATTGTCATCTCTGCGAAAACCCCCCTCAGTGTTCGTTCATAATTTTACAATAATGCTCCAAAAACATCACTTCGGTTGCTGATGGAATGTCTGCTATCTCAGGAACACAAACCAACGACGATTGACCCCCTCCGCGAATAAGGACACTCTTTCCGGAAGACACCACTCTGATCATGTCCCATGGCCGTCCTCTTCAGGGAACTACTGTGTATGACGCGTCTAGTACTGGATTTACTGTGGCTAACTGCTGTTTCAGGATGAAGCGGCCTCTTAGTAGTCTTGAGTAGAAACCGCCATAAAATGAGGACGACGACGACTAAGCTGTCGTAGCTGTTGACCCGGGAGACGCTTCGAAGCCATCACTGGTTGAACACAGTCTTCGAAACCTTCCGGATGCAGCTGCCGCACCACTAATTCATAAAGCAAGGCTGGGTTATTTAGGAAATTAATGGTCCTTATTCTGTCGCGTCCAACGCTCTAAGTACTTGAGTTCGAAATCCTAAACAATAAGACTGTGGAGACTGATAAAGCGATAGAAGATCGCTGTAGCTCAGTTGGCTACAGCGGAGAGAAAGTGAAGTCTTAATGAAATATTGCAAAAGATTGAATCGTTCGTTAGGAACTCACCGTCCCACTCTACCCTTGACAGTCAAGCTCATATCATGCCTGCGCAACGAGTGGCAGGGGTTGAGTAATGCTGCAGTGGCCATCCAATTTCGGGAAATAATTTCATTTTTCACGTGTGAGCCTTTCACCTGTTTATGTAGACAGACAAACTTATCTACCACATCGGTCGGTTCACCAGCAAGCATGAGGTCCGCGTTCAATTTCATCGAATCTTGCAGTAGCACTTTACAGATTCGAAGCGTGTATCAAGCTATATAACATTACTTGGATTATTTAAGATTTTACCTTCCTAAAGGATCTGATCCAAGGACAGGAATATCATCGGCGCACTCATTGTCGTTGAGTAATCGCCCCGGGAGTATTTCGATACCCGAAGTGCCAGAGACAGGTGAATAAGACTCAAGAGATAGGGTCACTCATGCTTGGTGAACTCAGGATATGTTTGTCGTAGACACGTACGCGTGCACGGGAGGTGGCATATAAGGCAAGAACACATAAGGGACAGCATTCGCCGCCAGGCACTGCTACAGTTTCTGACTATCAACTGAATCAAAGTAGATCTGAGATCGAGGAAGGCGACCATCTTTAGTTGTCAGAAAGGAAGGGACTTCATCATGGACAGTATGACATCAGTGTTGAACACCGATGCTTCGCTGCCGTACAGCCATCATTTATTTGAAAGCCTTGTTGTGAAGAAAAGAATAAAGGTGGTGGGGAAATTGACTTAGTGCTAGGTTACTATGATCACCGAGGTGCCTACACCTCCAAACACGCATTCAGGCAATCTGGATAAAAACTGACAACAAGATCGCCGCTGATATCGGTCAGCAGCCATATCTTCCAGCGTCTCCGACCGGGCGCAGTAAGGATCACGCGGTCCCCATCCTGGAAGGCGAATAGCACTGACAGCATCCAGTGGTTTTGTGATTTCTTTCAGCCTCCCCCCCTGCCAGGTCAAGGGTTGACCACCTCTCTGCTTCCGTTACCCTCAATGGGGCACGGTAAACAGCACTCTTCGGCAAACGATGGCTCGGCATACGCAACGCATGTCCCAACAAATACAGTTTCTGGTGCTGGACACATTCTTTAATGGAACTACCCGTCGCACAACCCGCTTTCTAACTGCCTCGTTACGGATACACCGACACCAACCTGCACCAGTTATGGTTCTGGGACAACGATTGCCGGACACCTGAAGACGTCACAGTTCCGCTGCTCGAACGGGCTAAGTCTCACAGCCATACAACAAAACAGGCCGCACCGTAGCTTGATACGCACGTCCCTTAAGATTCAGGTATATACCGCTTTGACACCATAGCTGCCTCAAATTAGCAAACGAGACCCGAGCCTTGCAGATTCGTGCACTGGCCTCATGTGTCACACTAGAATCAGAACTACTACAACTTTCAAGGTACGTGAAATGCTCCACAACTACGGAATCCCTCCCTGGATTATAAGTAGCGTGTCCAGTGACTGAATATCCAGGAGCACGAACTCATACTTCGTGGGGTCAAAGTGCATGCCAGACGACAGGATGACTGGTCAGTTCATCCAAAGACACTTGCGCCTTATCATTTTTCGAACACGAGGACGATTTTGTCTGCATATTTCGGCCGTCAGGGGAAATCAGTAACCAGCGCTTTCTTAGCTGAGGCTAGGTGTTAGGCCTTTCGAGACTATTTCAGAGAGTGGAGGGGATGACTAATAATTTCTTAAGTCATCCATTTACGCCTATTTCCTTGAGAAATTCGGAGGCTCAATTGGGTTTACTGATAGATGGCCATTAATATGGCCTTCATAAGTGCAGAAACCTCGAAAGGATGGAGCGTTTTAACTCCACATCCTTTATAAAGGCTTATGGTATTCACACACCTCTTTAGCGTACCTAAGAGTGTTGAGAGGAACAAATAGACCAGCAGAATAGCATGCATCGTTACATTCGAGGATTCTGTGGCACTTGCATGCGTCCTGTTGCTCGAACAATTTACACTATGTGAAGATGTCCACGTAATCCATTCTCAACCGGAATCTCGCTTGCTCTTCCCAGGTCACGTTTTCACGTGCTCCAGTAAGACATTGCGAAATAAGCGTTGCAAATAGTCTGCTTACAACGGGGTTAAACCGATTCCTGCCTTGTCCCGTTTATATCGACCCACATCATTTGGATGTCAGTTCTTCTAACTAACATAGGGGTAAATAAATTAGGGGTGCATTTAAGAGATGGCTCAGTGGTTAGACCGCGAATATACTGACCGAAAGGTCCGTGGTTTGAACCCGACCTCTGCCTCTCGAATTCTCCTGTTTAGGCTTAGGTAACCTAGCGGTATCCCATCTCTCGTGCTTTCGTTGTTTTGCATGGCTTCTGGGCACCGGAAGCGTTTTATAGCTGAATGATTATTAGTATGTTTACACTAGTCATAAGGTAAGACTTTTCGACAGGCCACAACTGGTTGTACCATTCTTGGGGCTCACCAAGTAGGTACACTCATCGAGTCTCCGCCAACTGTATATTCTGCTTGAAACCAAAGGACATATTTCGCCAATTCGGTTTTGATGGGAGACTCGCCAGGAAGTCAGCTCAATCTCTATAGTACGATGTTCTTAAGCAAATGAATGTGTTGCACCAGGCCGCCTTATGTTTCGGTTGGTACAATATTTAAGATATCACAACACGTTTTATATACGCATACACTACTCATAAGGTTGCTGAAGGTTGCTTGCGAACCTTAAAAACAGGAGATTCAGCTGGGTTACTGGCGAGTCTCTTATCAAAACCAAATTGATATACAAATGAGTATAGTTGCCAAAATATGTCCAATTTGGTTTCAAGTAGAATATATGGTTGACGGAAACTCGGGACTATGCCTACCTGATGAGCCCTGGGATGTGCGAAACCGGTTGTAGGCTGACGAAGAGGTTTCGGTCACCTTATGAGTAGCGTGTTAGGTCTATACGATGTACCGTGATATCTCGAATATCGTACCAACTGAGGTGGCCTGATGCAGCACATTCAGTTGCCTAAGAACGTCGCACTAGAGAGATCCAGCTGGACTGCATGTGAGTCTCCCGTCAAAACCAAACTGATATGCAAATATGTATGATTGTAGAGAGATACTGCTTAAGCACCTCATCCGTTCTTAAATGTTTGAAATGATTGTTCATCAGAGATAACAGCTTGGTGGAGCCTTTGGAGGCGAAGCATTCACGTATTTTTAAACCCGAAGGAGCATCCAGGTTCACCCATTTTGAGTCCGGGGTCTGGTCGGAGGAAGGCGGGTTTCCAGTTGAATTGTTGAAAGTGCTCGGTCCAACAACTCAAGAGTTCTCTTTTTTGAAAAAATTTGGCGACTGTTTTTGTTCTCCATGTTCTTTTTACCGCAGGTTTATTTAGGCGTGTCACTTGAGCAGTTTTTGCAGATTACTTCATTCCCTCATTCCTTTATCTTTTTAAACTCAGCAAGCTTTTCGTTCAGCACATGTCCTTTTCCTCTTTACTAAGGACGAGTCATTGGGACACATCGTCTAATTTAGGAGGTCTCTCCTGAGAGTGCTGTGTGGCCAAGTTGGTTCCTTTCCAGGGGAGGAACTGTAGCTTGCGCCATGCTAATCAAAATGCACCTCAAAGGGTTGAGATTAATCGTATGGAGGCGTTGGAGAGGTCATTCGAAAAGTTTCAGTGCCTAATTAAATCTCGTATGTCTGATCGCTTTGTAGGGCAGCGGACTCTTCACAGATCACGTCAAAGACACCCAAAAGGTTGTTACTGATCTTGCTGATATCTTCAATTCGGGATCACTGTAACCGTTTGTCCCACGCGCTATTCCTTTTTCAATTTATGTGGTTTTCTTTTGAACCTTGAAGTTTACAACTATGATACATGCCTTCGCACCACAACAATTGCGTGCATATACGGTTTATCCGCCTGATTTACTCATATTCCCCCTATTTTTAGCACTTTATGAAAAATGTTTTCCTTGTATCGACAATGCAATATTGGAGTTCAGAAGATTCTCTCACGTTGTAAGCTGAACAGTCATGTTGGGTGACGCTGAAATTGCCTAGACGCCCGAAGTATGTTCATCCAAGTGCAAGACACTCCAAACCCAAACAGCATGAAGTACTTTCCCGGCAAGGATGTGCTCGGTACCGGTACGATCGATTTTCCATCCATCGTTCATACCGGATCGTCTCAGCTCGCCAGGCAACTGTTCCGCATCGAAGGCGTTGAACGTGTCTTTTTTGGTCCAGATTTCATTACAATCACAAAGGTGAGGATAGCAGTTCCACTGAGACGATGTTTTTTGTGACAGAAAGATGAACTGGACTGGAGTGTTATCAAACCTGAAGTGTTTGGTGTAATTATGGACTATTATGCATCAGGATTGCCAATTATTTCTGAAGATACGCCTACGGACCGTACGTTTCACGTCATCATGTTCACATTAGCTTCCTGGAATACTACGATCTATGTTCAGTTTTTGATTTCTTGATCCATGCGTCGTACCTTTTGCAGAGCCACAACTTATCGCGTATTACACTATCAATCATGTACCTTCAAAACAGAGACATGGCACACCTGTCAACTCCATTTTAGTGAACATATTTCCCCCTTATTGACAGGACATCGATCCGCAGTCAATAGCCATTGACTACGAGCAACAGAAAGATTAAAGGCCGGAGCACTCGTTATCTTTTCGAATGGTGGCTATGGCTTTGGGCTAACTTAGGTGTTAAGGCTGACTCGTTAGTTACCTGTTTTCAATGTGATTCGTAATCAACCAATAGGAAATTTCGGATAGAATCCTAAGTGAAGATAATTTTTTTGTTCGACATTGTGTTATCCTGCTGTTTTTAGGGGATAGCAAAGGCAAATACAGTGACAGTAACGAACCTCTATGCTCTGTCTACCAAACAATCGGTCTTTTTCTTGACAATTTGGAACGAATTAGGCAAAACCGTGGGAGACCGCATTTTACCCTCCTTATTAAAGGGTTGATCATTGTCTAGAAGAGTGTGTCAGATTTCCGGTGCTTCGGCTCATCCCGAACCGAGACGTGTTAGTGCCACGTGCTCAACCTGTGTATTGTTCATCAGATTTCGTCTTTTAGGTCTTGCCGATGGGTGATTTTCGTGCTATCTAGCTTAATTTGAATAAGTGTCATGCAATATTTCATTACTAAGTCTCCTAATGCAATCCTAAAAATGGCGTTTACTGAAAACTCCATAGATGTTATTAGGTGTTCCTGGCTTCGTTATAGCCGTCACGATGAGACTGGACCTTACAGTGGTGTGACGGTTTGCGTACCTCAGCGATCCATTGAGCTATACTGGAGAGTGTCCCGCGACACACAGAGTCTCTCACACCAGGTTGGTCAATGGTTAGAGGTCTGACGAACACAGTCTCCTGGCCCTCCAGGTTCGGGGTTGGAACATGTGGCGACTTGTTCCGTAGAAATGGTAATGCGTTTGCATTTCCCGCCAAACACCGCTGCCTTGCGGTTAGGCTTTTGAGCCAAAGGCTTTGGTTGAGGACCCTAATCGTCCTCCTGTCTAGGTGTGGGCGCCCTGGCAGTATCCCAGCCCTCGTACAACCATGACCTACACAACTAACAATATTCTCATGCCACATCGGCCGTCGCGTGGTGCCATCAGCCGGGTCGCCTTACTTGCTGCATACAGCAGGGCGGGTAAGCGAAAACAGGCTACTGCTGACGCCTCCCTTCTTTCTCCTTCACATACTTTTTCTTCCCCCTCTCCCCACCCCCATTAATACTCTCTCCTTGTAGGCCCAGAACTTAGGACTGATGACTCCGTTCGTCATGCATCGGTTTTGCGTGCAGCATCTGTTCGTTAAATGGTGCCGACATCTTCAGGAATCTCCAAATCAGACCTCAAGCCTCGACACCTACTCTATCTGGCCGCGTTCAATGTTCGCACTCTGAAGCAAGCAGGACAACAAGCTGCTCTTGCACTCACACTGGACTCGCTTG